TTGTAGGTGCATCATTGCTTGAGAATACCTTGAATAATATAATATATAATAATATACCTTGTACAGAACTGTACACAGAATCTGTACACTGAATCTTGCTTGTCGTCAGGGAAAAACTGTAGATAAATTGAATGTCATACTGTGGAAAATTCCAGGCAAAGCAATAATGACTCCATGGAGACTAGTAGGCCGTGTGCATGTGCCCTCTATCAGAAAAGTTACATAGTGCACCTTTAAATAAGTTTTATTAAACACAAAACTGTCTGAAAACACAGCAGGGCTATATCCCTGCTTTTTAGCTTCACTTTGGGATGCATCAAGATCTGACAAAGTTTGACTAATTGTCTGTCAAGAAGCCATTTGGTGCCAGTGCATTTTTTAAAACATAATTATCACCTCACTTTTAATCACCTCTCTTGTATTAAATATTTTAGCTGCCATATTGCTGGTAGGAAATAACTTGTAGCAGAACACTTTGGCCTCTCTGACGCAGGTCTCGATAAGTGTTCATTAACCCACACCATATAAGGACGGTCATGTTAAAGATGTAGAGCTCAGCAGTCCGGCAGCTGTGAATGGTTTAAACAGAAACACTGCTACAAATGATAAATGATAATCGGAGAAACAGACTTGGGTGGCAAACAAACTCCCAATTGTGATGAGGAAGATAACACATTTAAATACACAATAACAAGCCAGATGTTGTGTAAAACAGTTAGTTACAGCTGGAAATTGTTGAATCCTCGTCATGCATCAAAACAGGAAGCAATATTTTTTTCCGACCTTTTTGGATTCTTTACATTCTTCCCAAACAGCAAGCCCCATTTATAGCCAACTGTCCAAGCTAATTCCCATGGACTCTTAAAAAGGCTTGGTATTAGTTGTTTTCCCACCCAAATTCGTTCTTCAAGCATGAAACTGTGCGCGATATATGTGCCTTTATCCAAACAGGCTTTGGATGCGTGACGTCTGCTATGGCTGGTTCCATGTGTGTCTTGGCCAACAACAATAATAACCTCCCCGAAAAGTGCCTGTGCTGGAAAAGTCCACAGTGAAGCGTTTCTGATTGGCCTCATCGACCGCAAATAGCAGCTGAACCAGTGCAACAAGAGCAATTGGGCTTTTCAATATAAGGCATAAAACAGATGGAGCTGCTCATAGGAAAGTGTTCCACAGAAGTATTCAGGATTAAGTACACCGAACAGGAGATTCACGTTAAGGATTGTTTTGTTGGGGCATGGGGTAATGATAGGACAGAGCATGGTTTAAAGTTGGGATGCACTGATACTGATATCAGTTATTGATGCCAATCCAGGAAATTGAAAATCTAAATCGCAATTCTTGTCAATAAATTTGCAATGGGATAGTTTTCCCAAATCGTTCAGCCTTAATGAATAGCCAGCAAAGGGCAGTTCAGCCATGACATTTCCAATGAGAGAGGCATTTACATTTTTCACCCTTGCACTATTAAAGAAGAGTTAAAACAATGACATAATACCATGACTAGAGGTGAATTAACTATTTCTAATATTAGTCCTATGACTATAATAATAATTTATGTTATTAGGCTCTTTTCAGAGCAGGAGTTTGTTTTCATACCTGACAGTTTCGACTGCTCACTATCGGTCTTCCTCAGAGTGGTCACGTGATGTTACTGTGACATGTCTGCCAAAGATGTTCATTTTGTTTTCTTATATACTTTAAATTCTTGTTTTTTTTTTATGACAATACAGTAAAGTGTATTTACCTTGGTGACATGTTTCGGCTGCTAGCTGCAAGCCATCTTCAGAACTGTCACCGGTGTTGGTGGTGACCTGTCGTATATCAGCTGTTGTTACTTCCTGTAGGCGTGGTCTGTAGGCTGTTCTGAAGATGGCTTGCAGCTAGCAGCCGAAACATGTCAACAAGGTAAACACACTTTACTGTATTGTCTTTAAAAAGAACCCAAGAAGTTAATGTGACATGTCCGGTCATCTGATTTATACAGGTTCTGGCGCCGTCCTCCTACCAGTGGAGACAGGATGACAGCACCATCTGCAGGACTATAAACCAGGACGAGGGGGCTTTTTTACTCTCACACACCTGTATAAATCAACTGACCGGACACGTCACAGCAACATCACGTGACCACTCTGAGGAAGAGCGCTAGTGAGCAGTCAAAACTGTCAGGTATGAAAACAAACTCTTGGTCTGAAAAAAGAACCTAATAACACATTTCTAATATTGCATCTGTACTAAGATGTGCAAAATTAGATGATTAAATATGTTGTCTGTCATAACAAAACAGATGAAAAAAAAAACATATAATAAAATGTATAAAACGAGCTGATACTTCAGTCTTAACTGGCTCTTTTCTGCTTATTCTTAAGATGGATTGCCGTAATATTATCTGAATATTTTCATCAGAATAATTGAAAAAACTAAAATATCAAGCCAATATTTTTTGTCAATACCGCCCACCTTATTATGCTAGCCAGGATAAATATAGTTAATTACCATATTCCCATTAGAATGTACTGTATATGTGTGAACAGGCTTTGAATGCGTGTGAAGAACACTGATGTTGCCACAAGGTTGAAGTAAGTGAAATACAATACAGCTCAAAGAGTTTTGTTACAGTCACAGTAGGTGGACCTGACCTTGGCCAAACCATTTCATTCAACAGCATCTCTGCACTTTACAGTACATTTTGCTTTAGTGAGATATTCATGATGTTTTTAAAGTGTGTAACTGAAAAAACAGGTATGATGTGAATGGCGCCCACTCTGTTGATCTTGGCGAATACAGTACATGTATAGGTAACTCACTTTCTTACATTTATTATATTGGAAATTGACGTCACCTTCCAACCTGCATTAAAAGTTACCATCAAGCTAAACCATTAAATATTCAAAATCAGTGTTGGAAGAAGTACTCAATTTTGTTATTAAAGTAAAAGTAGAGATACCAGAGCAAAGGAATAAAGTAAAGCCAAAAGTCTTAAAGTACCCATTAAAAAGTACTTAAAGGTCATAGGGTAACTTTTCTGGTGGAGGGTGAGTCACCTGCTTGTTTCTATAGGGATGTCATTGCTCTGCCTGGAATTTAAAGAGTAAAAAGTAAAAGCATTTCGCACAGATTTTGAGATCTTATAAAGCTTTATATGTAGTGATTTTGTTAAAGATTTGAGTTGAATTTTGTTCAACAGAAACAACTTGATTTTCCTAGCTGTTTTTATTTGTATATTTAAGTTTTCTCAAACTACAAACATGTAAACCCCCAGCATTTTCAGCAGGTCTCACACAATACTAAAAAAAAACAAAAAAAACATTTACTTTTCAGTCCTGTTCAAAATATAGTGAAATAGAAAGTACAGAGTAAGAGTACAAACAAGATAATAGTAAAAAAAAAAAAAAAGTTGGTAATATGTAAAATACAGATACCTAAAATTTATACTTATACAGTATTTTACTACTTTTACTTAGATACGCTCCACCACTGTTCAAAATGTTCTACAATCCATTCCTCTCATAAAATACTTGATCAGTTAATATTAAAAGTCTCATAAACAAACAGATGACGGACCCTCCACTGGAAAAGTTACACAGTGCACCTTTAACATCAAAACTTGCTACGTCCGCACTTTCCTCCATCACTGTAGCTTTAACTCAGAAGTGACCCACCAAGCAGGATTCCTCATCAATATCAAACAGCACATAGCTTGTCCTCAAACCAATCGACCCCAACATCAAACTGACGTCCACAACAGAAACCTGGCAGCCGATGTGAGAGGGATCAATACACAATGAGAGCACGAACACATTACAACGCTATACAGTTTACACAATCCGACCACAACACAAGGAGGGACTCAGGGACAGGATTACCACTAAAACTTAACTGTCCCAAGTCAAGATATCAAGAGTAGAAAATTCAAGACATAAATATTTGGCTGCCATTGCGTTTTTCTTTGATTGGTAATAAAGTTGTATCTTAAAATTTGAAATGACGTTGGATTGATTTTGCACTCTGCCGGTGTTGCAACTTCTGTGCCACTGCCAAACTGAGCCCCACATGCAAGATTTGTAAGAGATTGCATTGTGATAATAAAATATATTCATGTTTTTTTCTTTTTCCTTGGATCAACAAAGTGGACTTGAAAATGGTTTCTTGCCCTGTAGGGTTTGCCTGAGTTTGATTTGAAATGTGAAGACCAAAAGAGTTACAAAGGAGTTTTTGGCATTTGTCTTTCAGCAACCTTACTATACATTAGAATACAATAAAATACATAATACGATAGAATATTTTAGACAATAACTTTATGATAGGCCTAATTGTCACCACAGGCAGGCCCCCAGTACAGGGTAAACTACACGTAGTTTACAGACCTGCTGTCTGTAAACTACGTGTGTGATTTTTATCTGTAAAAAGTGCTATATATATAAAAGTTTACTTATTTACTTACTAAATAATGTGTTTATTTAATTTTACCATGTGGTCTTAAACGAGTTCTGATATAGATCAAGATGTGGTACTTGATGAAATGTGTATTTATTTCTTTTTTTTGGATGCTAGTTTTAGTATGGACTTGTATGAGGCTATTGATACCATAATGCAAGTTGTCTACTAGTTGTGAATGTTTTTTTCATGGGTCAAATAACAAGACACAAAAGCATGTTGTAATATCATGTTATCTAGAATTGTTTCATCTAATCTTAATCTCACAAAACCACCACGGTAAATCATCACAGCACACTTTGAAAACCCCTGCTCTGGTTCCTTCACCCGCAGACCCAAATGTCGAACCGCGTGTGGCCTCGTCATGGGGACAGACCTCAGGGCCAGAGTCTCAGATGTAACAGCGTTTGAATAAATCACCCAGCAGACGCACATCTTACATTTACACATCCAACAAAGTCTAACTCCATAACATCCAACCCGCCAGTGGAATTCAGAGGAACATACTGAAACTGGGCCAGCCGAGTCACAAACGCCTGGAAATGCATGTGTTTGGAGCTTACCTCATCAAAGCTGCTGTCTTCTTTCTTGAAAGCTGTGGAGAGAAGAGAGGAGAAGAAAGTTAGGCATGCACAATGTTGGATGAAAGAGTAGAAAAAATAACTCCATGCATATTCCAGTGATACTTGGAGAACCTATTCACTTTTATAGCTGTGCACAGAGAGCCCATATAGAAGCGGTAACGACTGCAGTGGAGCCTATTAGGAAGAATCACTGTTTATGATAAAACCTATAGGATTCATAAGCCACACTGTAAGCAAATCTCTACTGAATTTCCTTCAGCACGGGGACTATGTGTATCAAGTGCATTGTTTGAACTGAAGTGCAAATTTGAATCCATTTGTTTACTACATAATTAAATAAATATGGTAGATGATCAATAGCTTTCGCTGCTATGTGTCACCGATAGTCCTTAGCCAAGATACGTTTGAACTTTATTGATCCTAATGGAGAAATGAATTAGTCATGGCAACTCTTAAAACACAATATAGTGCACATAGTAAAAACATACATGCATATTTAAAGAGAATGATGAAGATACACTCTGAAAATATAATTAAAGTACTACTCTGCACTTTTACAGTGTACATATGACCTAAACTATTAAAAGGTAGCCAATGTAACATTTCTGTTGGAGAATCTGCCATGCCCTTGTCTCCAAGGAGATATTGCTTTCTGTAATGCCCCACAGTATGTCATTAAACTTATCCATTTATTTCTTTATATGTTTGAGAAACATGCCGTTCCAAAGATCTGTGGAGAGGTGACCGCTCACAGAATGCATTTTAGCAATAAAAACAATTGTGACTGAATGAATGCAAGATAGATAAGTTTAATACTGTGGAACATTCACGGCAAGCAATAACACCCCCATGGAGACAAGCAGGTGGCAGACCCTTCACCAGATAAGTTACAAATTGCACCTATAACTTTTAAATATACCAAGTTACACACTAGTTCACATAGTCAAAATACATATTAGTGTATAGGCCAACTTAATCTGTTAAAAATGCACATACAAGTTTAATAATTTGTCAGTTTTGTCTCTACAGCTAGATTGTTTTCCTTGTTAACTGCCAGAGAACGGCGTCAGACATCAAAACTGTCCTTATTTATGAGAGGGAGGGATGAACATGTCTGCATCTCACTGACAGTTTGTTTGTCTTTGATTTCTGAACTGCTCTCACCACCCAAGAGACTCCCCACAACATCATTATCCGACCAATGCAGATTTCAATGTTCATCCATTTGTTTTTTATGGACGCTAATGGAAAAGTACAGATGGCTAAAAGAGGGGGTATTCCCAAATAAAATGACTTATTTATGTGGGCCTTTGTCTATCCAGACTGCTGGGGTGTTAAACTGCAGCTTCCTATTCTCAGAGGGTCTTACTCACACAAAAATACACACAGGAATACCGCAAATGATGCACACATAGGCCTGTCACAATAATTACTATATCGACTTCAGTACATGACAGATAGAACAATATATTTTAGATGTCAGTATTTATCATGTGTACATTTTATTATTTTTTTGTTTATTTTATTTATTTTTATTTATTTTTTTATTTTTTTTTGCACTACTGGGGAATTTGTGGGGTTTTTTTTGTTTGTTTTTTTGGCTATATGATAAGATTTCTCAAAAAACTTCAATGACTCATTACAGATGTAAACTGTACCATAGTGTTTCATTCTGCTGTTTAGTTATTGCAACTCATAATTTGTAATAATATTGTACATTTAGAATAGTTTTTGCAGTTTAAATCTACTCTTGTTTTTTTGTATCAGTGACATAAATTAGTTTAAATATTATCTTGTCTATATTTAAGTCAGTGATATATAGCACTTCAATATTTGTTATATTAACAGCCCTACACACACCTTATAGGTCAGACACAACAACATAAAGTCACAGACTCATAAAAGGGCAGACTTATAAAGGCGTTTTATATAACAAAATCAAGCGTTTAATTCATAATTCATGTCACAACTGTACTACTTCCAGCATTCTTTTAAAAACCCTGTATTATTTGAATGCATTATGAAACATTATAAATTATGTATGCCGCATCTGTCAAGACATTACTGCACTTTGAATAATGAGAATGTAGCTGTATACAGTTCATGGTACAAAAGGGTTCATAATTAAATAGAAGAGTATTGTTTATGTTCATCATGTTTCCATCATCATCAACAATATAAGTAGGCTGTAGTTCGTATTAGGATTGGCCGGGTGAACCATAGGGTTGACAAAGTAAAAATAAATACACAGACAGACAACCATCCATGTGTGTTGACTGGTCAGAGGATTTCCAGATGTAGTATAATATATAATGGCACACAAAATTTACTCCACCATTGTGCAATAAATGGCAACATTCTGAAATCATCAGGAGCCGATCAGTAAAGGTCTCTATTTACAGATCGATCTATGTTCCTACCCTCACCTATGGTCCTGAGATTTGGGTTTATGGCCGACAAATTGCAGATACAAGTGGTGAAATGAGTTTCCCCTGAAGGGTGGCTGGGCACTCCATAAGAGATAGGGTGAGTAGCTCAGTCACACGGGATGAGCTCAGAGTAGAGCCACTGCTCCTCCATGTTGAGAGGAGCAGTTGTGGTGACTCTAACATCCGGCCTGGAGGCCTCTGGTCTCCTCTCAGTGGGACATGCACCCGTGGAAGACTTGGCCTGGTGGTCCCCCTGGAGGAGCTGGAGGAAGTGCACGGAGTGAGGGAATTCTGGGATTCCCTGCTTAGACTGCTGCCCCCATGACCCAACCCCGGATAAAGGGGAAGTCAAAGGAGGGATGGATGGATTATGAAATCAATCAACTAAACATAAGTACATAATTTTTAATAATTAATAATTCTAACTTTAAATTTGCAAACATTTAAGGCAAAACACAGGTACAACTGTCTTTTTGGATTGTTTCTATAGGTGCAAGTTAACAATTTATAAAGGCTAGGTCTTAGACAATCAGTATCGGTATCAGTATCGGTATTGCTTCCCCAAAAATCCACTTCAGTTAATCTCTAGGTTCAAGTCAAACTGACCAACACGTATATAATTCAAGGCGTGCAGAGAATACGATATGAACTCCTTTCTGCTTTACCTGCAGAGTGTGGCACTAGAAACAGGATGTGCATTTCACCGTTTCCTCCTCTAATTGCTCATCTATCTACTGAAGCTCGGCATTTTGACAACTCCATCTGCTGCTCATTTCAGACAAAAGTGCGTCTGTGTAAAAGACAAGAGTGAGAAAAGTTCCCCGGTTTGTTTTATGAAGTCGTGTTTGTCAGAGCTGTCGACAACTAAAAATACGCCTCACACTGAATTCATTTAGACTTGAAAAGCTCGTTTACGGATGGAAGTGGTTTAAGCAAAAGTAATACATCTTCTTCATACTCACTGTGTACTGTTTATCTTTCACAATCAGATGCCACTTTATTATAACTACCCCTTAGTCTTAGTAAAGCTGAAACAAAGACTTATTTCCTAATTAAGTTATTTACTAAGAATGATAACTACATAATCAGAGTGCATATGACAGGTTTACATGCTTTTCTAATTATCAGTAGGTTTGGTGGGTAAAAAAGTATAAAAATACAGGAAGTAGTGGTCTACCAACCCGTGTCATCAACATAGAAAATCAAATCTGAAATGTAGGGACAATTTACATGCTAGGAAGGCATTTTTCTGACAGTTTAAACCTTGATTGAAAATAAAGATGTTGTAGTTTATATGTATATTATATTTCTCTAGTCTAATCATAATTATGTGCAGTTTTATTGTTAATAAAGTGAGGCACTAGTAGTAAAAACTGTCATTGTGTTCTAAAGCAAACACCCACATTGCCTAATATGAAAGTGGAGTGTGTGCAAGTGATGGTGGTCGGAGGGGCCAATGGCACATATTAACAGCCTCACTTCCATCAGTCTGCCCCAGGGCAGCTGTGGCAACAATATTGTGGAGTGAATGAATAATGCACTGTCAAGTGCTTTGGGTATCTTGAAAAGTGATATATAAATCCAGTGATTAATTAATTAATTAATTACAGCCTTTGCTCATGCTTTATTAAGGCTAATTAAAGAGTACATATTAAAAGTTGTTCCCCAACTACATTCATATTGGCACATTATTAACATACAGTTTGATAGAGTTGTTTTTGTTGTGACTTAAGCTCTAGACCTAGCAACAATAAGCGGGCTCTGTGCCTTCCCAGCAAAGAGAGCTACAGCTCCTATTTATAGGTAGCACATAACATAAGAAGTGTTTAGCTTCTCTCTGTTCACAGGAGCTTATCACCCCACAGCCGCTCGAGACCAGGTTTCTGCTACGTGTGAATGTAATACTGAGCCTCTAATACAAAACCTAGGCATCTCACTCAGTCACCTCTCAAGTCATTCAAATAAATTCATTATGTCCCCAACATCCTGTTGGGCAACAATAATAATCATAATTGAATCAATATCACAATTTAAAGGGCCTATATTGCATTTTTCAAATGCATTTTCAAATCTATGTTATAATGTTGTTTCCTCAACACAGTGGAAATACCCAGAAAATGCCAAGTTCTACTAAACAAAAGTTAAAAGGCAGTGGGTCCCAATTAGCAAAATCAAATTTGCAATTTTTAAAGTAGCATAATTTCTTCAACAAAGAACAAACCTGTCTTTATGAAACCTGCAAAAGCTGTAGCTTAGACCTCTACAAAGATGATATGATATCCATGTCACTCTTGTCATTCAAATTTCAGTCTTCTTCCAAAGTTTTAATGCTTCTGGGCATGTTTAAAATGTGCAGTCTGAACAAGATCCCACAAATATAACATAAATCACAAATTGAATCACAATTGCAAAACTTGTCATTTTTTCCTAAATCGTCCATTCATTTCAGTGACTTTTGTGTCAAAATCTTCCTCCTTGTAGCTGCAAACCCATCAGCCACCTCAGACTACCTGCCTCTTCACCATCACCGCTTTCCAATGAGCCTATAAACTGTTCACAACACCTCACTCATTTCACAACAG